GGTCTTCTAGTCCAGTCCCCTGCTTGGAAAGGGAAGGGAAGGGAAGGAAAGGAAAGGAAAGGAAAGGAAAAGAAAAGAAAGGAAAGGAAAGGAAAGGAAAGGAAAGGAGGAATAGAAATTCAACCAGTGAAGTAGGAAGGCAAGAAAGAGAGAGGAGGGAGGGAGGGAAAGAGTGAGAAAAGAGAAAGAAAAGAGAAAAGAATGAAATAGCAAGAGCCCTTAGACTTATTTATATACCGCTTCACGGTGCTTTTCCAGCCCTCTCTAAGCGGTTTACAGAGTCTGCCTCTGGCCCCCCAACAATCCGGGTCCTCATTTGACCCACCTGGGAAGGAGGGAAGGCTGAGTCAACCTTTAGAAGGAAGGAAGGAAGGAAGGAAGGAAGGAAGGAAGGAAGGAAGGAAGGAAGGAAGGAAGGCTGAGTCAACCTGGAGCCTGGTGAGATTCGAACTGCCAAATTTCAGGGACCGTTCCATCAGCAGAAAGCCGAGTCACAGAATAACAGAGTGGAGAGGGGCCTTGGAGGCCTTCTAGTCGAACCCCCCCGCTCAAGCAGAAGATCCTCCTCTACCATTCCAGACAAGGGGCTGTCCAGTCTCTTCTTGGAAGCCTCCAGCGATGGAGCCCCCCACAACCTCTGCAGGCAAAGTCTTTCCCTCGGCTCATTGTCCTTCCCCGTTGCTTCCAGGTTTCCAAGTCCAGGTTGCTTCCCGTCCTGCCTTCAGGGGCCTTGGAGGAATAGATGGACCCTCTTTTTCTTCTTCATGGCAGCCCCTCAAATATCGGAAGGCCGCTCTGCTGTCTCTCCTGGCTCTTCTCTTTGTTAGATAGACCTGGTTCTCCTCCCGGCATCCTAACTCTCTTTCCCCTCCGTTGCAGATCTGGGCTAGTGACTTCCTGCCCAACGAAGCCTCCCTGGAGGACCAATCCCAACGGAAGTACCACCGAGACAAATCCGTCCCCATGTTGCTGGACTATGCCCGGCTGGAGGCCGAGCGGAAGGTGGGGACCGCTGGCCCGTTAGGGAAGATGGGGGGGGGGGGGACGGTCTCCGTTTGGGGATGCCGGCTTTGAGGCTGACCCGGTGTGTGTGTGTGTGTGTGAGCCTTGCAGGAACGGGTCGTGGTGGAAAATGCGGACTGGCTAGTGGTGGTGCCCTACTGGGCAGTGTGGCCCTTCCAGACCCTCTTGCTTCCTCGGAGACACGTCTGCCGGCTGGAGGAGCTCCGGGAGAGCGAGAGAGACAGTAAGGGGGTCCCGTTTGGGGATGATGGAGAGAGGAGGGCCTTGGGAGCAGGGGGAGGAGGAGGAGGAGAAAAAGGAGGAAGAGGAGAAGTTGGAGGAGGGGGAGGAAGAGGAGGAGGAGTAGGAGAGAAAGGAGGAAGAAGAAAAGTTGGAGGAGAAGGAAGAAGAGAAGGAAGAGGAGAAGAAAAAGGAAGAGGAGAAAAAGGAGGAGGAGAAGTTGGAGGAGGGGGAGGAAGAGGAGAAGGAGTAGGAGAGAAAGGAAGAAGAGAAGGAGAAGTTAGAGGAGGAGAAAAAGGTGGAGGAGGAAAAAGAGGAGGAGGAGGAGGAGAAAAAGGAGGAGGAGGAAGAGGGGAGGAGAAAAAGGAGGAAGAAGAGGAGGAAAAGTTGGAGGAGGAGGACAAAAAGGAGGAAGAGGAGGAGAAGGAAGAGGAGGAGGAGGAAAAGGAGGAAGAGGACATCTGAGCTGGGTTATTCTCCTGCAACCACCCTCCCACCAACACTGACAGGGCAAGCTGCTATAAACCGAGGGCCTTCCCTCCTAGCACTGATGATGTTACCATGTTGGTCATGAAATGTCTGCAGGAAAACAACCAAAGGAGCCCCAAGGACCCCACAGTCCTCCTCCTCCTCCTCCTCCTCCTCCTCCTCCTCCTCCTC